ATGAATAAATAAATAAATCTTTAAAAAAAATAACTCAAGCACTTAGAGATTGACCAATCAACTTTTGGTCAATTTAACTGACCAAAATTCACATAGAGCGGAAAATTTTCAAATCATGTGTACCTTATATATCTAACTTAAATATCTCTTATTATTTTGGGATCATGTCTTCCAGACACATCTACACTGGAACTAATAGCTTTATTGTAAACTTATGACACCTTTTGCTATATGGATTGAGTAAGGGGCACTCTGGACATTTATTTGGAAAAACCGAAACAACTGTAGAAATAATTCTGTGGATAGATTCTTTCCTAGTGAAAGTATCCATTCCCAGGAAGCCATTGCCATGTATATTCCATCAGTTCCTTGTATGCAAAATCTGGCAGAAAGAGAAAGTGAAAAGAGTTTCAAATACAATAGAAATAGAATTAGAAGGAATAAAAAAAATGGCTTTTCTTTTTAATTTGAAAGGGAAATCTATGTAAGAAAGCTTCAAGTGCATGTCACCTATCTAACAGGAATAAGATCTATGCTTTGAGCTCATTGAAGAAAGGCCAGGTTTGTTAGTTATAATATGAAAAGCGTTTCAGATTTTCCACAGTAAACTATAGCAAGAATCATTTTATACCCAAGAAAATCTTAGTTTTATACATGATCAGCGCGCCATGTTGTCACCTCCGGGGCAGGCGGGAATCGAACTCATGCGGAAGCGGCTTTAGATTCTCAGGGCTGTGCTTTAACCCGCTGCGCCACCAGGGAGGGCCCTAGTTTTTAATATAGTTATTCTACTCAAAATCTGTTCCAAATTTATGGAATGAATAGCATGCTTTGAAATCAATGTGTTCAAGTATCTTAAAATGATTTTTTTTCTTAGCTAGAATATGTGTTCATCATATCATAAAGCATGCATTTTCTTTATAATTATTTTATTTCAATTTCACATTACTACCTTCAGAAGCAAAATTTTACTATTTCTAGAACATCTCTGCATCAGGAAATTATGCTATCATGCTTATCTTAGTCTTAGATTTAGATTAAAAAAATAACAATAATTTTCTGAATTGGAATTAGCAGGTTACAAAGACCTTAAATTTAATTCATGCTAATCAACATGCTTTAAATTTAGTAAATACGGTAATATTTAAATGCAAACAAGTACCTGTGTCCATGACCAAATATATCCATCAACATTGAACACAGGAAGAACATAAAAATTCATTTGGTCCAGGAGTTTAGTCATAATTTTGTTTTTCCCATAGGTTTTGGTTGCCTGTAGGATAGAAAGGAAGCTATTATGAAGTTTTGTTATCATGTGCAAAGTTATCATTATAGAAATAACTACCACTCCTGAAATTATTTGCAAAATCATATGATTTCAAACTGTCTGTATTCTCTAACTGCACAAACATAAGAAATTTTCTAGTCTGAAATTAGCTGAACTAAATATTCTTTTAAGGAAATTTAATGAAAACATGTAGCATTTCAAATGTGGTATGCAAGATATGTTTCATAGGGTTGGAGTCTGAGTGAAAGTACAATTGTTTGAATGGATTCTTTACCTCACGTCCTAAAGGTAAATCTGTATTGACTCTATAAGCATAGGACTATGAAAATATAGGAGATTTATAAATTAGTTATAAGTAGGATTTAAAAATGCTCTTAAAAAATAACTCAGGCCCTCCCCGGTGGCACAGCGGGTTAAAGTACAGCACTAAGAAGCTTAAGCCACTTCCACATGAGTTCGATTCCGCCTGCCCCGGAGGAGATCCACATGGCGTGGCAGATCTCTCCTAACCGGCCCGCTGCTCCCTTCAGCAGTGTACTTCGTCGATCTGCCTGTTCTGCTCCCCACTCTGTCTCTGGTGAATCCTCTCACCCTCCGCATCTCTGGCCTGTACCCCAGTTCTGTATGAATAAATAAATAAATCTTTAAAAAAAATAACTCAAGCACTTAGAGATTGACCAATCAACTTTTGGTCAATTTAACTGACCAAAATTCACATAGAGCGGAAAATTTTCAAATCATGTGTACCTTATATATCTAACTTAAATATCTCTTATTATTTTGGGATCATGTCTTCCAGACACATCTACACTGGAACTAATAGCTTTATTGTAAACTTATGACACCTTTTGCTATATGGATTGAGTAAGGGGCACTCTGGACATTTATTTGGAAAAACCGAAACAACTGTAGAAATAATTCTGTGGATAGATTCTTTCCTAGTGAAAGTATCCATTCCCAGGAAGCCATTGCCATGTATATTCCATCAGTTCCTTGTATGCAAAATCTGGCAGAAAGAGAAAGTGAAAAGAGTTTCAAATACAATAGAAATAGAATTAGAAGGAATAAAAAAAATGGCTTTTCTTTTTAATTTGAAAGGGAAATCTATGTAAGAAAGCTTCAAGTGCATGTCACCTATCTAACAGGAATAAGATCTATGCTTTGAGCTCATTGAAGAAAGGCCAGGTTTGTTAGTTATAATATGAAAAGCGTTTCAGATTTTCCACAGTAAACTATAGCAAGAATCATTTTATACCCAAGAAAATCTTAGTTTTATACATGATCAGCTGAAGAAATTTGAACGAAGGTGACAATTTTATAAAAACTACAGTGATGAGTAAAATCCGAACATTTTTTACCTGACAGCTGCAAATGTGGCACTTCAGTCCTTTCTAGTTAAGAGGAACTGCATTCTTTGGAAAGGGGTGTTGCCACACAGTGAAGTGTTAGGGATGTGACAATCAAAGGAGAACTATGTGAATGTTCTGATTCATTTACCTGATAGACAAACCACTGACAGAATGCTGGGGAGATCCATTCTCGTGCATGAATGCCACAATCCATAAAGATAGCCTTTCTTCTTCCATCCTTTCCCCCAATCTATTTAAAAATAAATGAGATGTTATTTTGCATGAGTTCACACACTGATCCCTTGATGTCCAAAAACTCATTCATATTCTCAAGGAATTTCTTTCCCTATCTACTGTTAAATGAGTAACTGCACAGATTTTCCTCAAGGATCACATGACGCATGTCCATTGATGTGTATACATAATTCATAATCTATTTCATACTATAGTTTTCAATTTTTTCTACTGTCAGAGTTGTTTTATTTATTTATTTATTTAAGCCACAGGCTATTGCTGTTTAAAATTTTATTGCTGACATCCTTTAGCCTGAGAAACAGATGCTGCTATTTCTGCCCTTTCCTTTTGTTTTTATTCTGCTTTTATAAACTGGAGATGTTTAGCCAAGAGTGGAAAAGATGTAGTTATAATATCTTGGGGAGGAGGAATAGTGGACAGATATTTGAAGGTCTGCCACTTAGAAGAGAACTTAGATTTGTTTTGGGTGGTTGGAGAGAACGAGAGAATGGAAGTTTAGGGTAAAGAAATCTTCCCAATTATTAAAGGATTTGTGTCTTTGCTTATAAGAAAATCCAGCAGTAGTCGAATGGTACTTGTTAGCTGGGTACTGGCAGTTCATACTACACTCTGTTAACATGGGGTTGAAATGCCTCACTCTTCTGGGCTCCTATAATTATGATTCTTCATTTTCTTTTCATGGTATTTATTCATTGGCTTCATTGAATATTAATGGATTGAAAATACAGGGCATAGGGCCCTCCCTGGTGGAGCAGCGGGTTAAAGCACAGTACTAAGAAGCTAAAGCCACTTCCGCATGAGTTCGATTCCAGCCTGCCCTGGAGGTGACCTCATGGCGTGGCAGACCTCTCCTGACCCACCCGCTGCTCCCCTCAGCAGTGTATTTCATTGATCTGCATGTTCTGCTCCCCACTCTGTCTCTGGTGAAGCCTCTCACCACCCCTGAGCCTCTGTATGAACAAATAAATAAATCTTAAAAAAAAAAAAAGAAAATGCAGGGCATGATAAACTCTAAACATAAAGATATGGGGTAGGATATTTGTGTGGATTTGAACACCACATCTGACAAATGGTTATTTAAATGACTGTTTCACCTAAATCCACCTGCCACTTCTATTTTTGAATGGCCATCTAGAGCTTAAATATTCTTCAAAAGATAGGACTTTTTTTTTTTGTCTCAAAATTAGCCAGTTAAATAATAAACTAACTTGTCAAGTCATGGTTTTAAACAATAATGAGAATTGGTATTCCTTGAATTATTTTTACCTTGAGAACATACAGTGGATTATCTTCAGCAGTTTTTCCAATTGTAATACGAGTGATCATTTTGGGATGCTTATCCACCATTTTTTCAGTCCAAGCAATAATCTTAAGAACAAAACAAAAAAGGAAAATAAGAAAAAAAAAAAACTGAAGAATTAGTATAGAAAAAAATTAAATGACAACAAGTGTTAAGGTAATTTTATTTTGAAGGGCAGGCATTTCATAATGTACCTTGTCCCAGTTATTATACTTTCCATAGCTGTGCTTGTATGAGCTCTCTTCTCTAACATCAAACTGTTTCTCAATCTCTTCTTGTAGATCATGAATTAAGATTCTGTTTTAGAGAAAAATGAACATTTTTTGTAGGAAAAAAAAAAAACACACCAAAACCCTGCCACTCTGTGATTTGCAAACATTTTCTCTATCCTACATTAAGTTGGCCTTGTGTTTTCGTTATATTCCTTTATTTACTTTACACATATCAAGTGACTAACATTAGATTTCTCCATTTACCTAGAATTGTATCATTCAAATTGCTAATATCTAGTCACACATGGCTATAGATGTGGGGTGTGTAAGAGAAGAGATTACTGTGCATGCAAGTTATATACTGGAATTAGAAGACAGTATAAAAATCATATAAACTATTTCAGCAATATGTTTTAGTTTCATTATACATTGAAATAATATTTTGAAGAGGTTTTGGAGCTATTAAGTTGAATAAATATATTGGTAAAATCATATCATCTATTCTTTACTTTTTAATATGGCTGCTTAAAGTTGCCCATGTGGCTTGCATAATTTTACTATTGGTCAATACTGATCTATAACCACCTCTTGTCTTTCTCCAGAGCACACACATTCACATACACTCAGCATAAACAGCAATGGACATGGTGCTGCACAAAGAAGATGCTTTATTGACGAGCATGACAGCCTCCATCTTGAATTATCTGCCGCCATTTTAGGCTTGAGTTCCTGGTTCTCTGGGAGGGGCTTCCTGTAGGACACCATAGCAGGGCTCCCTGACCTAGGATTGGACCATGTCTGCTAACCAATCATGGGCTGAGGCAAACTTCTGTACCAAATATGGAGGGTGATATCAATCAGGCAGTGATCTGTATTGCACCCAGGTCTGTACACAGGGACTGTGTAAAAACTATCATACAATGCACGGGGTCCTTCCTACCACCCAGGTGCCTCTGGTGTGCGGTTGGGCCCAAGCTTGAGCTTGCAATAAACTTTTCTCTTGTCTTTACAGTGGTGTGACTGGCTTTTGTTTGGCTAGTGTGTCCCATTCTAGCATAACATTATCACTGCACGTTTTGAGAAATTTTAGTATCAATAACAATAGTAGTAAACATTTAGACTACACTTTGCTCCAGTTACTCAATGTACATTAATCATTTAAGCTTTATATGATGTTATTTATTATCTTCAGCTACAGATGAGAAAACTGAGGCATGGAGAACTGAGATAATCTGCCCATGGTGGCAGAGTTAAAAAATAACTAGTTTGAAAAGGGTAAAACAAAATGTAAGATAATTGTGATGTTAATGAAGGCTTATTTCTAACCTCTGCTCTCTTTTGTCTCTTTCTAAATTATTTTATCTCATCATATCATTGAATCTCATAGCTCTACCGATGACCTGATGGTTACCCATACTTTAGTTCTGGAGTCACCCCGAAGGTACATCTCTCTCCACCTCTCCCATGTCTTGCATACCCAACTGCCTTCCTGACGTTTTTCCTTGGACCTCCGTTTGTTTAATAGGGTCCTAGTGCTGCTTGACACACATTATTTTATTTAATCCTGTTACCTTTATCACCATTTTACAGATGGCAACATTTAAACTCAGTCATTTTAAATATAATTTGTATGTGGTAGAGCTGGGAGTTTGAATGCAGTCTTGCCTGATTGCAAAATTTGTTTAAAAATGGCTTTCCATATATACACAATTATTTCTGTATATGTTTTTCAGCTCTTGGTTTCCTATTTTACTCCACTAATTTGCTTTCCTATTCTTGTGTAAGAAACAAACTGTGTTTGGCAGTTTTAAGAACATTTTAATATTGAATAATATTATTTATGTTGAATCAAGTGTCTCCTAATTATCATTTTCAAAGATTTTAAAGCATTTTATTTGTTTTTAAAAAGGGTTTTTATCAAATCATTTAAGAAATTGTTAGAATTATTAGAAAGAATGTGCAATGAGTTGTTGGAATTATGTTTATTAATAAATTTGAGAAAATTTTAATAATGGAATGTAATACAGTAAGATCTTTTTGAGTCTTCAGTAAAATTTTGTATTTTTTGATTTCTTATTCATGTATTTTTTATTAGTGTTATGAACAGTTTTTTCCACTAAATATTTGAATAGGCTCTTACTTGTATATTAAAAACACATTGACTTAGTTATCTATTAACTATTTTATTTGTTTACAAATAAATAATTCTAAGAATTCTAAGAATTTTTTAGTTATAGCTCTATTGTTCTGTGTAATTATTTATTCTGCAAAAAATATACTTCTCATCCTTTCCTTTTTCTTCTTTACTGCATTTGCTAAACTCTTTGAACAACTGGAAATAATAGGATGTTCTTTTTCTTTTCTGATTTTGAACAAGAAAAACCTTTGTTTTGCCATTAAGTATATTAATTACAATTTAGAGATTAATAAGAGATCTAGTGATATGATCATATTATTATAATTGCACTAAAGTTTATTATTAAATTCTCTACTGTGTTAAATATGCTACAGTCATAAAGTATTTTCAAAGCCACACTCACACAGACCCTCATTCTTATTTTAGAAACAGTTCTAGAAAGCTTGTTGAACCTAGGAATGCATTGGACATAGTGAAAGTATCTCACCAGCAACAATCCTGCTATTGGTGATAACAATAACAAGAAGGTAAAACAACCACACAGAAAGTTTTAGCAAACACAGGTTTCAGTGGTCCTTTGATGTAGGTCCAAGTGACTTAAAATATGACTTGAATAGTTCTTGAGAATATCATTCTTTTATAGCACAGTATGGAAATCCATACTGATAATAATCCCTTAAAGGTAAACAATAGTCAACATACTTTTATAGAGTACACTAGTTTATAATGAAAATAATTTAATGAGATATTTAAAGAATGTTTTCAAGTTGTACTTGTCTGAATAATTTCTTTATTAGGATTATCTCATTTCCCCATATATATACCAAAATATATTACTGTACTTTTGTTGATTAAATGCACATGCATTTTCCTTCTTGTAGTGAGTCCTCTGTAGGAGGTTGCTTTCATTTTTAAAACATCCATTCTATCGGTTTCATTCCTAAATCCTATTAAATAAGGAAGCAGTGACCTAGTAGAAAGAGAGTTTTTAAACATCCTTGGGTTCCAACCTCACTTTTATTATGGGACCAACATGGCAGCCAGGGCTATGGTGATATAACAGAAACACCTGTCATGGTTAGGTTCCCAGTGAAACTCAGTGAATGTAAAGTTGAACCACAAACATCCATATCTTAGCCATTTTTGTGGTGCAGGGGATTAAAGAGCAGCACTATGAAGCAATCTGCTGCCACTGAAGCACAAGTTCCATCCCTGGCCAGGGAGGTGACCATGTGGTACAACAGACCTCTCCTGTCTTGCCCCCTGCTCCCCTCAGCAGTGTATTTCAGTAGATTGCTGTTCTGCTCCCCACTCTGTCTCTGGCAAATCCTCTCACCTCCACCATAAACCTCTGGCCTGTACCCCAGCTGTTGTATGCATAAATAAATCTTTAAAAAAATCGATAGCCACTTCACCGATTTAACAAGTCTCAAAACCATGCTTTAATGATATGTAATTGACTTTGATTTCCTCAATTTGTTACAATCAGGAACCATAATCATGAAGTGGTCACTCTACTTGTCAGTTTCTTCTTGCTGTTTTTGACAAATCTGAATTCAGAAGTAATGTATAAAGGGAATTTATTCCTAAACAGAATTTATTTAGCACATGAGACCTAGCTTTGCTTATGAGTATTGATTACTATTAACAGCACTGACAAACACATTATCATGCAGATTAAATGTAACTCATTCATTCACATGACTGTGGGATTTCTGAAGAAAAAGATCATGACAACAATTTTGCACTAAAACATGAAAACTGAAAGACAGGAAATTATATTTTGAGAAATAATCATATTAAGCTCTAAAGAGGGCATGTGACTTTTGCTACACCTGCATTAATAGAGCAAAAGAACCAAGCAAAAGAGAAATCTTATGATCCCAGAGGTTGTTTCATAACATAAGGCCATATTAGTTAATTATAGGAAGTTCTTATCTAAAACTTTTTATGCTTACAGATATCAATTTAACTCTTGTGATAACAGCAGCAATAGAAAATCACGTGAGCTGAAATATATCCTTTCCACAATGCAGCTACATGAGAACATCAAAATTGTTGCTGATAGGGACTAGAAATTAAGCCTACATTTGCCAATTAAGAACTAGAGCCAGATGCTATTTTCATGAGCCCGTCCACTAACCAGCAACCAAGCTCAAGTGTATGAAACCAAATTATTTTCTATCAAATTCTGAACACTTCAATATTTGCTTAAAAAAATTCTTAGACCTTGGTGGAAGGATGAATAATTATCATTGATGATGTAATGCTATATAAATGACCAATACTTACTGAGCTTTATTATGTATCAGATGCTCTGAGCAGGATAGTATTTGTATTATTTAATCTTTGTATCAGCATTCTTATTTGGATACCAGTGTCATCCTTTCTATAGAAAGGTTAGGCTGATTTCCAAAGTGATACAATTGGTAAAATACAGAAGTTGGTATTTGAGCCACTCACTGTCCGACTTCAGTACTCTATCTTAGAGTCATTATCTAACTAAACTTCCATCACAAGAGTGAAAACCCTGGGCTTTGCCCATAGTCCTGTAGACTACTGAGGCTTCTACAGATTTCTCCCAGTT